AAAAAACAAATCCAGATCCCACAATAGAAAATGGAGACAATATGTAGATAACTTTCAAGATACAAATGAATGAATACGAAAAATAAAATAAAGGAACATTTGAATTAAAATACACTTATTGAAATCCAAAAGAAAATCACCCAGGTCAACAAACATAGAGACAAGAATGTATCTGTAATTATACTTTATGTAAGTTGTGTAATTGTTATGTAAGTTAAGCATCCAAGAAATGTATTTTTAAAAGGAAACTCCAATAAAAAGTGATTAATACAAAAAAACAATGTTTTCACAGGTGAGAACGTTCGACTTGTAGGTGGTTTCACTCCATTTGAAGGTCGTGTAGAAGTATTCTATAATGATACATGGAGTGCAATTTGTAGCGATGGGTGGGAATTTGTAGACGCGGAGGTCACGTGCAGAAGTTTTGGTAAGTATTATTATCAGAATTTGTAAATACCGTGACGTTTTATAGGCGAGTGATGGCGCACTTTTATTAGAGCTAATTCAATCCATTATAACCTAAATTCAGTAGTCAAGACAGAAGTTGCATGTCATCAAGAATATAGGCGGAAGTGTTCTAATTGAGTCGCCAGGCAAGAATTAAGGACCTTCAATTGGTTCTAAAATCCTACAGCACTTTTCTGAAATATTGATCTACCAAACGAAAAGATCGCCGCCTGCCTGCCGAAACATAATTCGTAATATTAGTATCTTCACTGATATTTTTATTACAGGTTTTCCAGGTGCAATGCATATATTAAATAGTGCATTTGGTGATGGTCATAGTGTTCTACTGGTTAATATTGGATGTAATGGAAATGAGAGTACAATATTGAATTGTTTATTCTCAGTGATGGATGGATCTCAATGTTCTACTAGTCATGCTGGTGTATACTGTAATTGTGAGTTGTAATTTAATTTAAACATATTTGCAAATTATGAGGTTAGCATTATGATATCAGTGAACACGATAGCAGGGTAGTGATTATATAACTGTCGAACAAGTATATTCATTTGGTTTGCAAATTCAGTCGTCACGACGAGAATCAAGTTCCAATTTAGAGTTTTAATGTGTGTACAACATTTGTTCTTGAACTGACTTATTTTACATGTACACATACAAAATGGTAGATATTTGTTTTCACACGTCCAATGTTGTCCAATGTTTTATTCACGAACATTACAATTCGGACAATATAACGTACAATATTATACAAATGCAATTTAGAACAGTCAATAATATTGTCACGGACATTGAACTGGAGGGAAATGTTGAGTTTTACAAGGATGTGGATTAGTTTGCATGATGATGTGAAGAAATTGCCGCACGGGTTTTTGTTCAAGTATGCAGAATACCAATGTCTGTCTGTCTGTCTGTCTGGATGACTAGATGTGTTGGTCAAATCTTGTTTCAACAATATCTCAAGAACCAATGAGTTGTTTTAGATGCAATATAATACACAGATACTAAAGTATAATTATTTACAAATTGATTATTTTTTGTATCTATGCATGCATACTAATTAGGTTATTTGCATTATTCAAGTACGTTTACTATGGTAGTTGAACAGTTTGTTCACTTTGCTTAAAACTCATACATTATACTGTTTGGATAGTGGATGTCTAACACTAGTCTGGAATTAATATAAAATAAGGTAATTTTGTAAATTGGCTACTAAATTTCAGCAGGATTGATATTCAAACAAGTTTCTCAGATGGGTTAAATGTTCAGGCATATTTGCACACTAATTAACTATTTACAGCCTATTGTGTTGATATCTTAATAAATGCGTATATAAATATTGGTACATGCATAGTATCTGTGTAGTTGCATCACTGATAACATTTGGTTTCAAACTGCTTCATGTTGATGAGTATCTCTTATCATTTATTAGCCTGTCAATTGGTTAATTTGCTTAGTTATTAACTGTTCGGTCTGTTTATTAAATATCATAATACCGTGTGCGTGACACTGTATGCGAATACTAATTAACCATTGCTTGAGGTACGTTATCATCAGTTTTAAATACACAAGTAAAGTAGCATGAGTAATGTTAGTGCAGAAATGATTGTATGCGAGTTGTTTAGTGAATATAAAGGTATTCACTTCATGCGTAGAAATATATGTTTTCCATAAAATAAACTTTATATGTATTTGTTTTAGTGAGTTTGTTATTTCAAAGCTGACATGGGCAAATTCATCATAGCATATACCTGCACATTTTGGATTGCGTTCAGGAATTGACGCAATGTAAGAAAATTACATACTCTAATTTGTGTGCTTTGTCAATGTCATAGATCCTGGCTACACTGGATGTTTTGCAGATGATGATAATGATCAGCCTTACATTGGTGGCGAGTCAGAAAAAAAAGTAAAAAAAATTCGTAACTGTATAAACCATTGCCAAATGGATTTCACATATGCTTCTATTAGAGACACATCTGAATGTCGCTGTGGTGAAGATTTTCCGGGTGATAAAAATTCTTTAGTACACAATGATCGTTGTGATTTGCCTTGTCAGAACAAGGTGACTGAAATGTGTGGAGGAAATCATGCCAGCTCAGTGTATTCCAGTAAGTATTATGTAAATCAATATTAGTTAACATAAACAAGAAAATTGACTTTAACGTTTTTCGTGGATACTTTATCAACTTTTCGTCTCTAAATTGTGTGTATTTATTGGTTTTGTATTACTGTGAAAATTAAAGAGTCAAGATTAGAATGTTAGCGGACATCGAATATACGTAGTGCACGGTCATAATGATTAATGCTTGTGTTTTTTTCTATCTAGCCACTTTAGGCAGTTGTACTGGTACACTTAACGAAACTAAAGGTTGGCTGTTTTCGCCGAATTTCCCTGGTAATTACCCCAAAAACAGCGATTGTCAATGGACAGTGCAAGTACCTCTTGACTTTGTAATAGAGGTTACGCTGAGAATGCTGCGTCTTAATGATGGCGACCAAGTATCATTCTATAACATAAGTGGACTACCTCAAAATCACCCTGTCATACTAACCAATGACAATAGTACATTAAACAATAGAGTGATGCAATATGTTATTGGTACCACTGTAAACAATACATTATTATTGACTTTCACATCAGACGAAGAA